AGAGTACGTAGACAAGTTTCCTTCGATTTTTAAATTTACAAATATGAAAAATAAATAGTTTAATATTTTAAATTAGCACACTTAGCAATATTTAATTTATATTTCTATTTCCAAGATATTTCGTCGGTTCTAAATATGATGGCGGAAGATTGGATGGCACTTAAGTCGGATACAGAAAGACTTGTGATGATAAGACGTGTACGAACTGCTCGATTAATCATGACAATGGGATACATTTTTGCGATGACAGGATCTTTCACAATAATCGTACCACCTTATTTTGGCACGGAATCAGTGCAAATAACAAATTTCATGAATCGGAGCAAATCGTTACCGCTGGAGACGTATACCTTCTACGATACAGATAAGAGTCCGCAGTTTGAAATAACATATCTTCTTCATGCCATAACAATTTTAATAGGAAGTATTATTGAAACGTGTATAGATCTTTTTTTAGTACTAATAGTTCTTCACATTAGTGGTCAGTTAGAGATTTTTAGATACCGGTTAATTACATTAGTTTCATGTGAGAATTTCAATGAAGCTTTAAGTGATATCGTAAGAAAACATTTACGATTAATCAGGTATGAATCTTTCTTGCAATACTTAACAAGACAAATTTTGCAATAACTCTGGAAAAATGTTCTGCACAAAAATTTTTTATTTTTTTCTCCACACTTTGCCATAAATATCAATCTTTAACATGAGGAGCTAGACGATGTTACATATTCTCTGTTATTTGCTTTGCAAAACGTTATTTACCGCACATATTGTATAATTTATATGTTGTATATAGTTTACACACATTTTACAATTCAGTAGGTTATATACCGCGTACTCTTAAAGCTTACTTTATTCAAAAAGATTCGTTTTATTTGTGTTAGTAGAGAAAAGTCTTCTATTATAAGGCAGGCTGCTAATATGAGATCACGGAGATTCTGCTAAAGGCATCATCTGTTGGTTTCAGCATGAATTTATTGCCATCGGAGTGAAATTCGTTTATTGAAAAATTTATTATTAGATCGTGTAATCGTTGCGAGAAAAGGTTTGTGAATAAATTTGGACGTTGAAAACCTACTATTTTACTATTAGAATCCTATCGCATAATAGAGAACTTTCCTCTATACATATAACACAACGCACATGTCAAAAAACATTTTTATTAAAAATGGTCAATTAATAATGAACATAATATTGAATAGACAATAGTTTATATGTAGGTATACATATGTACGTATGTCACTTATACACATATGTATTCCTAGACATGTGTATTATTTCATTGGTTTTAATTTTTTAAATATTTTTAATTTTTCACTAGATTTCTTGACACTATTGAAAGTATGTACTCTTTAGTGATGTTTGTATTGTTACTTTATTTTGGTGTCATCTTTTGCCTAAACGGTTTTTTATGTACTATTGTAAGGTTCAATAAAGCAAACCGAACAAATAACTTAATGCATATGGCTCTTTTTATTTTCTTATAATATACTTATACACAGATACTTACTGACATAGAAACAGATGGAGCTGTCGTACAAGCTTTATACTCATCAGTGACTGCATATATCTTATTGATGAATACTTTTCTCTTTTGTTTTGCGGGAGAGATTGTATCAGAACAGGTAAGTTGAACATATAATAACTTAAGAATGGCACATATAATTGCCAAACACCTTCCGATAAAAAATTTCTTATGCATGACCATTCATAT